CGTTAAGCAATAAAACAAAATAAAAAAAAGAGATCAACCAAAGGACTTGTAGGCATGCATTTAAGCATAACCAATGGACACAGACAGTGGGGTGTGAAGGCCTGGGCTTGGGGGGTCGGGGGAGGCAGGGAGAGGACAATGAGGAAAAAGGGGACATATGTAATAATTTCAACAATAAATAATTAAATTAAAAATAAAAAGCAGGAAGGAGGCCTACTATTTCTTTAAAAATATTCATGAGAACACTCCCTTAATTCATTATGATTTTATGTATTCTAGTGACAAAGGGAAATCTATTTGTAGACATCATTCCACCCTCTGCAGAATCAAAGATGAATAATTAATAATTCCATTTCTTAGAATGGGTACTTTATTTTGGTCTAGGAACAAGCAAACTAGCACATCAAGCAAATGTTTTTTCTCAGGCCTCCCTCTACTCACTCTGTGTACATTATATGCACTACCCCAAGGGAATCTCATCAATGTGTAAGTGTGAAATAAGCCACAGAAACCAGCAGCAGAGAAAGTCTAAAATGTAATTGACTGATTCCCAGATATTTACGTTCCATTTTCCAGAATGGTATTAATATCCACTTCATCACTGTCTTAAAAAGTATATCTTACCCTGAATTCCAATATTGTATAAGCCAATCCGGTCCATATGCTAAGCCTCTTTTAGCCATCTTCTCTTCCCCCATCATAATATTATTTGCCTTATTTCTTTGAACATAAATTCACCAACATATTTGGTTTCCCCCTTTAGTCTAAACTCTTTCATATCAGCAAATCCTTGGCCTATAGTTGGCTATACGCCCTCAAAAAAATTTTACTGTTTGTATTGTTTTTCATTGTTATTGTTTATAACAAAAGCCCAGCTAAAACTGGCTTAAATTTAAAAGCAAAAAAGAGAAACTCAGGGGGCAAAGCAGAACTTTTGCATTAGCTAGATTTCTAGGAAAAATCTTGTTATCAGGATCAGTTCTTTCTTCTCAAAATTCTATTTTCTACTTGCCTATATGAACTTTCCCTTCATTCTCTATATGGTATCAACTTGAACATCCTGGTTTAAATGATAATCCCTATTATATCACCTAGAGGGAAAGATAATTTTTCTTTCTAGTCATTACAATAAAATTCTAAGCCATACAAATCATTGCCCTGAATGGGTCAAGTGCATATCTTAAAATAATCACTGCATCTTTGGTAAACCTATAGAAATTAAATATGCTGATTTACCTAGAACTAAGAAAAATATACATCTTTGATGCTAGTACTACTGATTGTATCAACTCTAACCAACTACATGAACTGGAATTACTCAAAAAGTAATTCAACAGGTGGTTACCCTCCCTCCCCCCCAAAAAAGTAATTGAATGTCATTGGACAAACAACTGTCCCATACTGTCCATTTCTTAGCTGACTGTAATTTACTCACTCTATAAAAATCACATCAGGCTTTTAATAAAAATTAAAAATATACACAACAATTTTAACAGAAAATTCAATGGACCTAGGACAATGTTTCTGGCCCAGGTAATTGCAGTGGAGTCTGCCTTGTGGTTTGTTGTAGATGAGCAGCATCTCTGGCTTCTACCACTAGATGGCAGTAGAATTCTCCCAATCTCTGGGACAGAAGAGCTTTAGTCTCCTTAGAGATCTACAAACATAAAATAAAATTGTTTTGAAATGGAATTGAATAGAATGTTTTGAATTGGAATTCAATAGAATTGTTTCACTATTTTTCAAACAATTTTTCTTTTGGGGGGGAGAGTTAGAAAATTACCCTATCCAATTTCAAATTTTTCTATGAAGCCACAGTAAAAAAAACATTTAGAATATCAGTGCAAAAATATAGAAATTCATATAAAAGAGTGATAATCCAAAAATACAATAGAGAAAATTGACCTTTCACAAAGGTGCCAAAATAATGACCTGGAAGAAGGGAGAAATTTTTCCAAAAATGTTGAACTTATTTGTGCACAGTTTAACAATTCAATATATTTACTAAAAATCTTTGAGTTGTATACTTAGAGAGGGTAGATTTTTTAAATGTAATTTATACTTCAAAAATAAGTTTTTTGAGGAAGAAGTAAAGACCCAGCAGACGGAAATTGGTTACTTTAGTATTGGAACCAAAGTTAAGAAATTCTTGTTCAGCTAGCAAAAAAGAATGGCAAGAAGTCAAGCAGAGAAAATCTGAAATTTCCTCAATTTCCCAATATGTTTCATAGCTAAGTTAGTCATGCAGCTAATTCCATGGGAAAGAATAACATTAATACCAAGTACAATCCCTTTATCAAATTGCTATATTTACCCCATCCTTCTCTAGCAAGCACAAAGACACACACATACATACATACATACGCACACACAAGCACACACACACAATCATATATTCTCATCCCTCACACAGGTATCACATTTCCTACCCCTTAACAAAACAACAAAACCTAACATAAAGAGAGATATGAGTTGCTTGACTAATCTTGGTGAAGAAATGCCTTATAAATGCTACACGATAATAGAATACAATAAGAAATCTTCTCTCAAACTTTTGCACAGCACTTTATAAAATAATAATGTGAGTTTCCCTTGTCATTTGTACAATGAATTTTCCCAATGACTCATGAAATGAATGACAGAGAAGGAGCACTGAGGGGTCAAAGGAACCTTTCAATGAGGAAGAAAGTGCAGAGACCCAGAGGGGAAGGAAACCTAATCTCTATAATTCCCCCAAATCTCATATATAGGATCTCCATCCCAAGTCCTACCTGCAGCCTGTCCATTGATGATTCACACATATGACGTTGGAGATCTGAGATGAGCTCTCTCGTGTACTGCCTCTGCTGGACCAGCTGGTCTTTAGCCACTGACAAGTTATCCACCACATGCACTTCATTGTCATCCAGCTTTCCTACTATTTTCCTTGAACTGTTCCCAAAGCAACTCATTCAAGTCTACTTTCTCATGACCCACCAGGAAATACATGTGCTACCTGGATGAGGCTTGGATAACTATGCTACACTTTATATGGAACTCCTCCTCACATCTCCAAAATAGGGAATCCTGGGCCTTCCTTAACATTTCTTCTGGAAGTATCAGAACCTCAAACTTGATTATAGAAATGGGACATGGCTGCATCAATCACTTTTCCATTGGTCCTCTCTATGTCTTTGCCTCCAAATAGTTGCTTTCACTTGGGAGTGTCTACTCTGTAATTCCCAACCCTCAATAGGAAAGGAATTGAATGAGAACTAAGCCCAAGTCTTCTGGACTCATCAAGTCTGAGGTAACAAGGAGCAAGGGGCCCATTTTGATGTTTCAGAACTGCCTCAGAAATAATGTCCTTTTACCTTCCAAGTATCTTTCTCTTCATTGATGACAGCTTCCAACCTCTCAGCTTCCTGCTGCTCCTTCATCAGCCTGTCCACAGCCACCTGGAGTTTCTCCTATGAGAAAGGAACCACCAAAGTCAAGCTATGAGCTTCCTCAGCACCTAGATAGCAGATAAATGGAGAAATCAGGCTCATCTCAGAAGAGACTAGAATTTCAGAACTGAAGCTAGCAATTAGAACTGAGAATGCAGACAGAAATCTGAGGAAGCATGTGTGTTCTTTATCCCAGAGTGATGTAAGTTTCCATCTCTATCAAGTAGTTTGGATTTCTCTTTTCCTAAAGAAAGAACTGATCCTGCAGCAAGCAAAGTACTTTTTTCCTCAAGAACACTCTTCCCGCCAAAACCGGTTTGGCTCAGTGGATAGACCGTCGGCCTGCGGACTGAAAGGTCCCGGGTTTGATTCCGGTCAAGGGCATGTACCTGGGTTGCGGGCACATCCCCAGTGGGAGATGTGCAGGAGGCAGCTGATCGATGTTTCTCTCTCATCGATGTTTCTAACTCTCTATCTCTCTCCCTGCCTCTCTGTAAAAAATCAATAAAATATATTAAAAAAAAAAAAAAAAAGAACACTCTTCCCAGATCTAACCAACCATGTTCCTAAAAATCCCGTCTGTTCATGGGGGCAATCAGAACTTATCTTGAGAAGTAATTCTCACTCATACAACTTCTCTTTGATATGCATATTATTGAAGGAAATGAATGAATGCACAACAATGTCCCTCAGGCCTCAGAAGCTAAGCCAAGGATATGAAAGAGAATGCAGCACTCAGTTCTATGACGACAAGGGAAAGAAATAGGATTAAGCAGTAAAGATTTCACTTCGGATAACATTCTGCCCAATGTTTCCACACTCTGGGGCCCACCTGACATTCCTTGACCACCTCCTCCACGAGGGATATTTGGTGACCTGGGTGCTCCTGGACACAAAGGCTGCAAATGGCCTTCCCATCTTCCTTACAGAAGAGATGGCAATTTTCCCCATGTTGCTCACAGAGACCATGTTGCTCACAGAGACCATGTTGCTCACAGAGACCATGTTGCTCACAGAGACCACGTTGCTCACAGAGACCATGTTGCTCACAGAGACCACGTTGCTCACAGAGACCACGTTGCTCACAGAGACCACGTTGCTCACAGAGACCACGTTGCTCACAGAGACCACGTTGCTCACAGAGACCACGTTGCTCACAGAGACCACGTTGCTCACAGAGACCACGTTGCTCACAGAGACCACGTTGCTCACAGAGACCACGTTGCTCACAGAGACCACGTTGCTCACAGAGACCACGTTGCTCACAGAGACCACGTTGCTCACAGAGACCACGTTGCTCACAGAGACCACGTTGCTCACAGAGACCACGTTGCTCACAGAGACCACGTTGCTCACAGAGACCACGTTGCTCACAGAGACCACGTTGCTCACAGAGACCACGTTGCTCACAGAGACCACGTTGCTCACAGAGACCACGTTGCTCACAGAGACCACGTTGCTCACAGAGACCACGTTGCTCACAGAGACCACGTTGCTCACAGAGACCACGTTGCTCACAGAGACCACGTTGCTCACAGAGACCACGTTGCTCACAGAGACCACGTTGCTCACAGAGACCACGTTGCTCACAGAGACCACGTTGCTCACAGAGACCATGTTGCTCACAGAGACCACGTTGCTCACAGAGACCATGTTGCTCACAGAGACCATGTTGCTCACAGAGATCATGCCTCTGCCACTGGTGTGACCACATGTTGCCTTCTCTGATTTTCTTCACTATGTTGTCCAACTCCTTATTAGGCATGAGGTGCCAAGGGTCGTAGGTGCTCTGGCACACAGGACAGCGACATTGCCCTCCATAGAAGCTCTCTGACTCATTTGCAGCGATGCAGAGTTGGCAGAAGTTGTGGCCACAGTGCAGGCTCAGGGGTTCTGTCAGGAGCTGCTGGCAGATGCGGCAGATCACCTCCTCGCTTATGCTCCCTTGTGATGAAAACTCCATTTCTATGCTCTCCTGCTTCTTCCTGTCCTGACTCCAGAGGCTCTTCTTGCTCACAGACTCCTGCAAGGCTGGGAATATTCAAGGGGGCAGGATAAGAAAGGCAGGAATAGGAAGGATACTGATTGTGCAAACATTTAGAACAGAATAAAACTTTAATATTCAGTAAGAAAGAAAAAGAGACAGAGAAGAAGAGAAGTTAGTGACAGAATGAAAAAGTCCCTTTGTAATAATTTCAAACACTTTATCTTAGTTTATGTCGCATGACAAATTTCATCCCATCAAGGCAATGATTGCTATTTTCTCTTCTTCTACTGAATAGAGAACAACTTGAGGCCCTTCCTACCAAGAGCGTTATGTTACCCAACCATTATTCTTGTCTATTATTTCTCACCTGCAAACACATCCAACAGGTTAGATACAGTAACCCCACTGTAGCCCCCTGGCCTTTTACACTTGCATGACTTACTTTATTTGAACAGTTTTATTGAGTTATATTTACATTGCATGCATTCGTTTTAAGAGTACAAAAGTTTCTACTACATTTATTAAACAGAATAACTATCACCACAATCTAATTTTAGAACATTTCTATTGCTTGAAAACAAGCTTAATGCCATTAGCAGTCACCCCCATTCTGACCCTGAGCCTTAGGCTACCATTAATCTCCCTTGTGTTTTTACAAATTTACTTTTTCTGATTAATTCATAACAGAAAAAGTATAATATACTAGAGGCCCAGTGCACAAAATTTGTGCACGGGGGGTGGGGAGTGTCCCTCAGCCTAGCCTGCGCCCTGTCACAATCCAGGACCCCTTGGGTAGGGTCCCTAGGCCTGGCTAGCAATCAGGGCCTATTGGGGCTTTCCTTCCCCTGGCTGCCAGCAGACGGCCCACCCCTGCCACTGCCACTGTCTGCCACCTGTGCTGCATTGCCCCCCCTGTCCCCCACCACTGGTCACCTCCCTTTGCAGGTGACAGGTGTGGGGTGCGATCTTTTGGCTGGCCTGGGCTTCCCTCTGTGGTGCGATCACTGGCCAGCCCTGCACACCCACCACAGCATCGCTAGCTGGTGGCCTGGGCCTCCCTCTGCTGGGCGATCGTGGGGCAATTGGGGGGGCCCCCTGGCCAATCGCATCGTACCTGCCTTGGCTGGCCTGGTGCCAGTGCGTGTCATAGTGTGGTCATCCAGAAGGTCGTCTAGATGGTCATTCTGCTGTTCGGTCATTCAGTTGATTTGCATATTACGCTTTTGTTATTGTAGATGATCCTTTGAGTCTGAATTCTCTCACTTCACAGGCAGTCATTGAGGTTCATCTCTCCTGCCTTTCTTTCCCATAATAAAACTAAAACCCCACTGCTGCCCTTCAGATTTTATACTTGCTTATCTCTGAATGGAATGTTCTCCCTGATGTCAGCATGGCTCCTTCTTACGTTTTATTCTGTCTTCCACCTCACATGTCTCTTATCAGAATGACCTGCTCTAACTTATTATTATAAACTGCCAATACTATTGCTTGCTGTACCCTTAATATATTTTTCTTATTTTTACTACCTAGTGTATAACATATTTCTTTTGTCCACTGATGTACTCAGTACCTATAACAGTGCATCACACAAGAACAACAACGCAATGTTTGGTGAATATATAAAACTAGAAGTTCCCCATTCCCCATCTCTTCATAGATAGACATTTTTCTTATCAGCTTTCTCTTTACTCCCATTAATTAGCAGTTCACCAATACCTGAGAAGTGTTTACCTGCTAGCACTCCTGTCACACCCAGAGCCTTCCCATACCCTCCAACTCATTCCCCCAAAGACACCTACAGAAACATCAAAGACATAATACAGAGGTCATTTCATCACTAACCACTTTATAACCAGTTATAATTTAGAAATCACTTTGGCCCTTTTATTTCTTATATATGTATTTTGATAAGAGTACTCCCTTCTTGGATTCAGAAGTACAAATTGGTAGCCACAAAATAGTCATGGAAATATAAAATTACAGCATAGGGCATATAGTTAATAATATTTTAATAATTATGTATGATACAGGTGGGTACGATTAGGGGGAAAACACTTTTTTAATTTATATGATTGTCTGAACAAGGCTCCACCTCACAGGTTAGATGCTGTACGCCAGAAAGTAATACAAAATGATAGCGAATATCAACTGTAATTGAAAAATAATAAAGAAAGAAAAATACATTTAAAGAATAAAAAGAGTGCTTTTTCCTTCAAAATGTGCAAATAAAATAAATAACTTACAGAGGTCAAGGTCATTTTTAAAATAGGTAGAATTGTTGAGAAACATACTGCTCTCAATATTGCCATTCATTGTTCTCTCCACTACGGCATAGGTTTGAAAAGACAAAAACAAATAGAGGGGGAGGTTGCAAGAAATATATTATAACCAATATTATTGGGATGCACTGAGGTAACAGTGAGATGTGGCTCTCAGTGGAGAGAAAATTCCCCTTGAACCTCCAGAGAGACAAGTGACCACATGGGAGCTACAGAGATGGGCAGCAATCTGATCATCCGTCCTCTCTCATCAGCTTGCCAAAGGGCTGTACATTTACCAGGAAGGTTGTGAACACTTCCCAGAAGTTACCAAGACAAGAGTAAAAGAATCAGATCATGGGAAGGGGCAGCAGGTGCCATGTCTAGTCTGAAAGGTGGCAAGAAAAAGCCCCTGAAACAGTCCACGAAGCAGGCCCAGGAGATGGATGAGGAAAGATATGTCATTTGAGCAGAAGGAAAAAAAGAGTATAAGAAACTTGAGGAAGTGAAAGCAAAGGCCAATGGGAAGGGCCCCCAGGACACTTGCATAATTAAGAAATCTGGCCAGAAATTAGCTGTTCCTTGTAACTGGGACAATGTTGATCCTAAATTCCATTCCTGTTTTAACATCTGAATTTTTTGTCACAATGTCTGTTGCCACCTATAGCTAGATGAAGCTTGTTGTCTGCAAGCTTGCTGTACTTTTAAGAAAAAGCTTTTATTTAAAAAAATAATGATAATTTAACAAAAGAGTAAGAGGACCAATTTCAAGAGATCCCATCCTTTCCCACATGCATCCTGACAAGGGCTCTCACTCCTGCTGGCCTCGCCAGGGCTTTTCGAAAAGGGAGAACAGAGCTCCATCTCACAGGTTTCACTGGAGAATAGAAGGAAGAGATTTTCTGTCTGGAAAAAAAGTATTCTGGATCACTTTGGCAAGGTAGAGAGTCAAAAATACAGAATAAGAAGAAAACGAGGGTAACTCAGCCTGGAGAAATAATAGTCCCTCCCAGAAATAAATAAGACTCTGCCCTTTTAAACCTCCCTTCTTTAAAAATCACTCTTCCCCCAGACGCAGTGTTTCTCTTTTCTGCCACCTCAGCAGAGACACCCACAAGCAGAGCAGCTTCAGAACCACAATTTAAGACACCAGTCAGTCTGCTCCCCCAAGAAACTGCCCCACTTACTTTCAGGAGTCTTAACTCAGTGGAGAAGATCAAGTGTAGGTCTGGTCAAGATTCACTCATCAATCCAGAAATGAGTTCTCCACAGAGGAGTGTCTCCACACAACAGGAGTGAGAAATGAAAGTTAAACTCATAGGCGTGGAAATGAAACTAAAAAAGAACAGAAACTTAAGAACAATAACAATGGGGCGCCACCATGTGGAACATTTGGGAAAGTTAATGCTTCTGTATGTTCTAGGACCTACACCAGCTTGGCCCTCAATCACTGTGTTTTTATCCCTTTCTCAGATTATTCTAGTAAGAATATTTGAATAAGAAGAATGTGAAATCCAATTATACATTCTACAGCTTGCCTGAATACTCAGAATTTCAACCCAATTCTATACATACCAGTTAATTTATCCTATATTCATGTACTAAACTACTTACTATGGATAAAATCATCATCCACACAGTCTGAGTACCTGCACTTTGTAATGCAAAGTCTGATGGGGAAGATAATCAGTGATAGAGCTCAGTTCATTTGAGCTGAGAGGTAGCAGCTATTATCTATATACTAGGGGCCCAGTGAATGAATTCATGCACCTTGAAAGGAACTGTGGGCTATGAGGCAGGGGTGAGCACAGAGGCAGGTCTCAGCCCATCCTCTGTGATCCCTGCTCAACCCCCCCTGCTGCGGCCCCCGGCCCCCTGTCTGCCAACAGCCCCACTCCTGCTGCCGCCGCTCCT